CATAAAAAGTTCTTGTCAATTGTTGTTTTTCGCACATAAGAACCATTTGCCCTTCAAAACCTATATAGTTCTTCATATTCAAAATTGTTGTTCAAAGCGCATATCTAGAAGCACTACTAGCTATACCAACAACAAACTATACACACCTACAACGCATGGACTGTTTAGACAGTTATATTTTGTGTTTAATAAATAAATATAGCAGAGGAATTCATTGACCACATGTTTCTCAAAACGAAGAATACAACTCGCAATTTCTGGTCAGTTAATCGTGCAAACGTTTCTATGTTATCGTGGAGCGTGGAGTCATAATGAGACTTTTAAAACAAAAAAATATCGAAAGGAAAACTAGTCAGATGCTTTAATTTGACCACATGTGGTCTGCTCAGACGTCAATCACAAAGACCAAATAACCACAAGATCTTGTGGGCGAGGAGTCACATATATTAATGGACGCTGATATGACATGTAAACTAGAATAATGCATAAGTGATATGGACGGAATACCACATACGTCTGAGAAAAAAGCTCGCCAGACAAGGCTACATAGCATTATCTTTACTTAGGGGGATTTTTGCAGTCTTAGTAATGAGCACTATTTGCATATCACTGAGCTTGTGTGGTTTGACTGCGAGCGAGACGTAATCATTAATAAAATATAAGAGAAATGAGACAAAAAGTGGAAAAATGAGGTGTTATAGGATGAATTTAAGATAGATGAAATAGAAACAATGGGAGATGAAAGAGAAAGAGAAAATGAGAGTGAAATAGAGTTCGCGTTGATTATAAAAAAATCTGATTTAGTGTAAACCCTAAAACCTTGAAAAATTTGAGTAATTAATAAATTGTAACGGAATTAGATGCGAATTCCTTTGCGTTTTTTGCCTAATCTACACTACATTGCGCTATTTTGCACTGTTTAGTTAGAGTAAATTCAAGAAACCCGTGAAATGGATATTACACTAATACAACTTAGTACGCTGGCTCTAATTGCATTGTTTCCTCTTGTGTCTATTTGACTATCACGCTTTAATAGTCAAGTTTTGTTTCACGGGTTTGATGACCTCACTCTAGAGCTTGATCTCTAGTTCACACTTCTTGCACTCTCCTCTGTTCATTATCGCCTACAACAAACGGGGTCGCAGACACAAAACATCTCTATTCCCTTACCTGCCTCTACGGCATAACCTTATATAACATATACATTCCTGTTTTTGTCCATAGGGACTTAACAGGCAACAATGTCAATTGTAATTGTGATTATTATAAATATTGGAAAAACAACATCCACCCTTCATCTGGGTTCAAGATCAAAGGAGCATGCGCAGAACCAAGCAGTCGAAAAGGGAGATCGTTGAGTCAAGTTGGTGCTGATATGAAACAAGAATGTGGTAGGTTATCAGCATTGAATTATTTTTCCTAGAAATCAAACAGCTATTCACGACTTTCAAAAATGTCGCGATATGTCAAGGTCGCCGAACAGGGCAGTGCGAACGAAGCACTTAAACGAGGTCTCATAGGGCAGTGTTCGTAGTAAACTTCCACGGTGTTTTGTAAGAGAGTTTTGTCATAAATAACAATGCCAATACATCTTTCAAGATTAAATACTGCTATACATACAGTTAGGCACCCGCCCACGTATATTATTTAAGAGATTCTTAAAACGGAGATTGTTGTCCTCTTTGCCATACCTAAGAGGCGTTTTTGTCACCGAAAACAGAGAATTTAAGAGCGCCCTTGATAATGGATTTTTCTGAAAATGAAGGCTTTCGTAACGATGACATAGTTGCTCTCTAAGTGCATGTGCGCGCATTCTCGATTCTTTGAGCGTATAGACATTTGAACCTTTTACGTCATGTACCGTATACGCAATGCATTGTAGGATGTGTTTGAGAAAAACTGATCCCACAATTCATTGAAAATTAAGCAGTGACGTAAAAGGTTCAGAAATATATTTGTGCGCATTTGTGTCAAGAGGTGTTTCGAATATGCTTCGAATTTTTTAGCAATAAAAACAATAAATAAAATAAAGTATTTTCATTGTTTTCTTAAAAAGATTCGCATTTTAGAAATAAACTTTTAATTTGATCGTTAACTGTAGTTTTTATGCTCATTTTCAGATCGAAGTAAGCTATTTGACAAAACAAGTCCTCATGTAGTGATTTCCACTCAAAAACCCATGAAAAGTGTTTCTCAGAAACAGATTCAACCCACGGCAACACTATCGTCGAGTTCTGCCACAAGTGAAACAGAAGTTCTTGAAAGCGCTGGTCCTGTAAAAATTGGTTCGATAAAGGAATCATCTAGTAAAGCTATGCCCTCTACTACTTCAGCTAGTATGGCTTCTAGTACGTCAGTCACTCGCCATGCTGTCGTACCTGCTCCTGTACAAACTGCCATAGCAGCAACTACAACGTCGCCAGTACAAGAGACGACGTCGTCAGCTTATGAGMGATCAACAACATCTTCATCGACACAAATAACAACAGAGAAACAATCTACCACAACAGAGCAACCTACCACAACAGCAGCTCCACCTCCAATAACAACGGAACAACCTACCACAGCCAAACAGCCTACCACAACAAAACAACCTACCACARCAAAGCCACAACCTCCTGTAATAAAGACACAGCCTCCCACAACAACAAAACGGCCGACYACTACAGAAATGAAACCAGAAACGACTTCAGTCCAAGATACAACATCAGRAGCCACTAGCCCTGAGCGAACTACTACRGAATCGCCGATGACAGARGAAGCGACCACAGATTCCCCTCCCACCCCTCCCAARCCAGGTCCACCAACCATCATTCTCTACCTGCAAAGCAGTGTGGTTAAGATCGGYTCTGTAGTAGACGTTATMTGTAAAGTTGAAGGTTTTCCTAAACCAGAGGTTGATGTCACTGTCAACGGAAAAGACGCAAAGAGTGTGTTCGGAATGTTTCAGAAGCAGAAGACTGGTGCTAAGGTGGTGTTTGAGGCAAAGTTTACCTCAGAAGTGATATGTTATGCGAAGAATAAGTTTGGCGTGAAGAAAGAGACGCTTAGAGTTGAAGTTAAAGGTATGTAGGTAATGAATGTAGTTTCAAATATA